GTGGCTGCCCCATCCCTGGAAGTGTCCAAGGCCAGGTTGGATGGGGCTCTGAGCAACCTGGGACAGTGGAAGGTGTCCCTGCCCATGGCAAGGAGTTGAAACTAGATGATCTTTCAGGTCACTTCCAACCCAATCCATTCTACGATTCTACGAAAAATCATCACTATCACTGTGTTAGCAGACAGATTTGGTCAAATTAAAGAAAAGTATTGTTCAGTACTCACATGTGGTATAAAAGAATCTTTTTAGGTACTAACAAGGAATTTTTGGCTTTGTGTTGGTTGAATTTTTCAAGAGAGAAAGAAGGTAGTTGGGTATTTTTCCCATCAATGTTAAGGTTAATTGGTCAAACATTCATGCACTCCATTAACATTCAGAACTTTAACATATAACTCAAAAAAATAGCACTTGGGTACACAAATGATAGTGATGGAAGTTGTACAAACAGAACATGACTGCTGAAGCAGACAGCAATGCACAAGCTGAGAATGTCAATGTATTCATGCCACCTACCACTAAATACCACCCAAACCAGGCTGGTGATTTATATAATTACTGCAAAACACGGTGTTCAAGTAGCAATCAGAGCAGTCAGGTGGAGAAAGTGAGCCTTTAGAAAGGCAAACAGGTACTTTATCTATACACTATCACATCAACAGGTCTTACAGGCTCTACACAAAGTTCCTTCAAAGCACATTTTCTCCACAATGCGTAAGAGACATTATCCCCATCATCTCAGAACTGGTTATGTCTCAATCAGAGAAAATACATTCAGCACTGTGTTTTAAAAACACAAACTGGAGCAAGTTTAGAGGAGTACAACAGGAATCAAAGCAATTTTGGAAAGGCATGCTAAGATAGAGAGGCTTCAAAAATTTTTTTGAAGGAAAAAATATAAAATATGAAAAATCATGTTCTAAGAAGCGATTAACTATTTTGATTTTTTTTCAAAGGCAACAAAGGACAGCAAGCCCTGTAAGCAAACTATATGTTAAATACTTGTGAGGATTTCCATTTCCTCTACAAGAAAATTTAGAAGAACCTGTGTATAAATAAAACAGAACTTTTGATAGAGAAAAAGGATGTAGGGCAGAAGAAAAACTGGAGAACAACCTGTTACTGAATCCATCATCTTTTTTATTGCATTTCAAACAAAGTTTTCATAAATCTGGTAACAATCCTAAGGTTATTTTGACATCAGATTACCTTACTCCACAAATTTTAAACACAGACTTTTCGTGGCTGTAACAACATGATTAATTTATTAATTATTCCACCTATCACTTAAATGGAACAAAAGAGAAACAGGTTCCAATCAAGTCTCTGTAGTATCAATGGTGTTTTCACACCTAACTGTTAATCCTCCAATTTCCAGTTCTTCAGAAATCCCACAGGAATTCTAGACTAAGGGATCCTCAACCAGTTAGGTTATAAATGTTATACATACACAAATAGCAAACATTAATTCATGTACACATACCTCTGATTTCAAAGACAAAGCTCAGTTTCTACTCTACCAAAATGAAATCTTGATTTGAAATCTAAAAATACCAGAATCTGGCAAAGTTAGCAAGCATCACAAATATGCAGGCAGCAGATTAGGATAGAATGCATGGATTAAATCCTGAGGGATGTTAATATAAGGCATTTCAAAACCTCAAAGGTTGAAGTGTTCTCTCCATAGAGTGTTAGCACAAGAGTTCTTACTAGAAGATGTCTTTCCAAAATTATGATACCTTCTTGCATAAAAAGGGTGCCTTCTGCAAGGAGAAGGGAAAAGGGCCACACCAATGTTAAAAGAACTGTTTTGAAAAAAAAAAATGAATCAAGTCTGTTTTTAAATAGGATGCTTTCAGAGCCCTCAAAAGCACATGTGCATTTAGACCTAAAAAAATATTTGAATAATTAATTATAAATTTAACATGATAAATTTAACAATCCTGAAAATACAACCAAATACATAATTTCTCTATTCTACCCCTTATTCTCATGATGGAAATGCATTTCTGATATGAATAAATAACAGAACTAGCCTAACACCACACTGCAACAATTTTAGGAGCAAGTTCTTTTAATCAATTGTCTATTCCAAAATGGGTAATCAGACTTTTCTTTCCTCACAAACTTGGAACATTATTTGTGGCACTGGAATAGGAAAGAATACATTAAGTGCTGACAATCTTCAGGATTTAAAAAATAACAGAAGAAGACAAAACAACCCACACAGTCTTACCATGACTAAATGTGGTCTCTTGAAATATGCCTGATACTGGAATTAAGTAACTGTAAAATTGGGCAACAAGAAGTCAACCTCAAAATTACAGAGTCAGAAATTCTGGTTGGAAAAGGCACAGTAGGTCATCCAGCCCAGGTCATTTTCATAACATTACAGTTCTCAGACAGTTGTGCCCAAAAACACTCGAGATCTCCAGTCACACTCTGTGAAAAGGAGGAAATTTTCCAAGGATAATGACTGGGCAGGCCACTGCATTTTGCATAGATTTTATCAACGAGTTTGTATTCACACAATGCAACAATAATTTATACCAAAATTCAGACCAACAGGTCATCCAACCAAAGCTGCTGCCCAAAGCAGGGTCAACACCACATTCAAATGAGGTTGCTCAAGACTTCCCTCTGCATGGCTGGTAAGGCTGCATGATGAATGGATTCAGATAGCTGGGCATATTTGGGAAGCCTGCAAGCTTTTCTATGCAAAATGCAGTCACTGAAGCCTGACCAGCAGCTTAACACAGACCATGAGATGTAAAAGGCACACCAAAATCATATTTTTATATGCAGGAAGATCAAGAGCGATTCACAAGGAATAAGACAGAAAAATGTAAGCTGGGGACAAAAAAAAGCCCCTCTTCCCCATTCCAACTGTTAAGGGGAGATGGAATGTTGTAATCCCACCAGAAATCCCAGTATTCTCTATATCCAAAAGGTAAAAGTGGTGGACAGACCAAATGTTGAATTAAGTAGAATTCTTCATTCATGTCTACCTCTGGTTAGTGAGAAATCAAATTAATCAAGTCCTGATCTTCTATTTGATAATCAAGTCTAACTTTGTCTCAATAATAAAAAGAACTGATT